AACACTACAAGTGGTAATCAATACCTTTCTGGGAACACCCAGGAAGCTTAGGTTGCAGTAAGAAATGACAAAACAAAAGTCTTTAAGAGATGTGGCATTACCCATATTCCAAAACAGAAAGGAAACCTCCATTGCCACTGAAAAACAGATGTAGATTTTCAAAGGCACTTCCAGGATTTGCATCCCTTCTCCCATTAAGATCGCCCAAGTGAACAAAAAATAGCTGGTTGGAATACGCTGTGATGCTTGGTATCTTAATTAAAACTGAGTTGCTCGCAACTCAAAGTTAAAAGGTGTATTTTGCCATGCCTTTATTCTCAGCAGTGCACAATGTCTCATGGAGCTTCCCTATAAAAAGGGGGAAAAAGGCTTCTATGAACTGAGATATTTGATTATAGTGATTGCCTAGAGGGGACTCACCTTGGCCCTAACACACACACACGGGTGAGTGGAAAAATCTGGTTCGTCATAAGACTAAATAGTCTAGCGAAAACAAGTAATGCTCTCCACCTGTGGAATCTACTTCACTGAATATTTATGATATGACACTGAATTATAAGGAGGCCCAAGAAATACAGGCTGGGACGAGGGAAAGAAGATATAGTAAAATTACCATTACTTTCATTCTTCTGTATTCATTTTCATAATAAAAACAGCTAGCACTGACTTTTAGTTACATAGCAGTTCCTGTTGGAAAAAACTGCCTAATGCTTAAGTGACAGTCTTATTTATGGTTATCTTTTTCATTGAAAGATTCAAGTCAATGAGCTATGCTACCCAGAGTCTACTACTGCAATTCTGTATTCTTAGGTGCTATCCAGGCTATAGCGTGTTAACAAATTCAGAGTCACTACAGAAGGCAAAGGGATTCAGCAGACAGACACGAAGCATGCTCTTAAGAAGGCCTGCTACTGTACAGCAGGAAGCTCATCGGGGCAGGAAGTTCATCTAACCCTGTCTTTGCACCATATTCAAGTACACTGAGGTTTGAGCTTACCTGAGGATTTTGGTGTTAGAACCAGTGTAATTCATCACAGAAATACGAGAATATGCTTACCTGAGGATTTTGGTGTTAGAACAGTACCAGTGTAATTCATCACAGAAATAAGAGAATACACTAACAGATTTATTCCTGAGATGCTAGGGAACGGAAAAAGACATGAATTTAGTGGGAACAAGAACCTCAAAATGATTAACAAAGTAACAATGGCAGGCCTAATAATCCTTAATTTGCTATCGAGCGTACCATACATTGAATAATCACTACCTAGTACCCACTAATACTAAGTGGATCTATCCACGTGTAGTGGGCTGAAAACAGAACATTCAGAGAATCTTGCAGCTTTCCTCGACTTAGAGGCAAGTTCATTGCTCCACTAAATGTAGTTTTGTTTAATCTTTTTTCTTCAGTTTTTACAGGATTACTTTAGAAGCATGACTTGGTACACATAAATGAAATACGTACAGACACAGAACATGCTGGAAGCAAATGTATTATTTATATACCCCAGCATTTCATTTATCTTTCTCTTAACAAAAGAAGAAAGCTTTTCTGCTTCCAAGAGTCAGAATCATTACAAGTGATAGCATTCTTGCTGGCAGATTTTGAGATGACACTCAAATTTTCAGTTTGTTTCTAAAGAGTTAATCCATTTTTAATAGGTTTAGGCTAACTGCAAGTATATATTAAAATGATTCATGAGTAAATGCATGCTGGTAATGGCACAAAAGGACTGTCGACGCAAATCTTAAGAATTGCTTTGCCATTTATTAAAATGCTACTTGTAGCATATTAACCCCTTTTAAAATTAATACAAGCCTAATAACTGCAGCTACCCTCACTGTATATAGCAAGTAAGTGTCTTCTGAAGAATAAATCCTTTAGGGAGTGCTCAGCATGCCACTATTTAGTCAGCCTTGTCAGTCATTAGTTTCATCTGTCACTTTGCACTGCCTACTTGCATTAGTTACAACATTGTTAGGATTTGGGCTGACAGTGCAGTGTGACAGCAGCCCTCCGGTCTGGCCTCCAGTTGGATGATTATGATTGTTCTTCATGGTCCAAAACGCTGCGCAGATTGGCACATGGCCAGTATTATTAAAGACTGTACTAGGCAGCCTCAGCCAGATGTAAACTTCTCTAGAAAGCATTTTACCAAGAATCTGCCAAGCATTTCCTTTGCACAAATATTCCTGTATCCACAGGTAAGCACAAACAAACATGCCATCTGGCCTTACTCCGCTCTTTAATGGGAGGACTCAAAGTCAAAACCAGATTTCTGTTAAGCCACAAGAAAAATGCCTATCACAATGCTGGATTACAGGCTTTCCAACATGCAAGCAGATCACTAATAGGAAACCCTAGCAACAGCCATCAGTTTAAATGGACTTCCAGGCACATATTTTGCAAGGGCTGATCATACGTATCAGTCCCTGATCCTATCATTGATAGCACAGACTTCTGCAGTTGCTTGGAGGCCTGATGAGTTAACAGCAGTCCGCATGAGAATTCAGGTTGGAAGGGGTCTCAGCAGGTTATCTAGTTGCTATATTCAATTGCAAGATCAGGAGTCAATTACGTGGGTGCATGTGATTTGAAAGAGAGAATCTGTCAGAAGTTTAGGGGCCAAGCAAACGAGGAGATCACTAGTTAATGCCTTTTAGTCTTCTGCAAAAAAAACAAAGCCATTCTGCAACAGTGCTTCTATTCATTTTTGTCAAATTTTGTAAGTGACTTACAGTGCAAGCAACATAAGCTTTCATCTTGCATATGGGATACACAGGCGTTTGCTTGAGCACAGTCCCAAACGGATATCCATAGGAGGAACAATCCGTCAAAGGCACTGGCTAGCCACACTCAAGCTCAGGGAATTAATTTGCTAGTAGTCGCCCCATCGTTTCCAGATGAGAGTAGATTAAGGATATGCCTGACAGAAGTGACATAACCTGACAAAGTTAAATAGATATTTTGATTGTATGCCTTGTTCTTACCTTTTCTTATTTCAGAAAAAAACATGCTTTGTTTCTTACAGGGGACATATGTCCTACTTCCAGGTTAGACGTGTTCAGTGAAACAAAGCTGCCCCATACCCATGGCTTGCATTCTGAATATCCATATCCCACAGATAGCTGAGAATCTCAATCTAAATAAAAAATGCCCATATCAGGAATCAAGCGAATAGTTTTGCATGTTCAAAGAACAAAGCCTTGATTCAGAATAATGATGCTATTTATAGGACTAAGGAATAATATGCAAGCACATTATGGATGTTCTTTAATTTCACAGATGTGATTTTTAAAAGTGATTTGCCATGACGTTTCATATTTAAGCTTTACAGTGTACAAAACAGAATTAAACAAAAAGAAGTACAGAGGTTTGCACTATATAATTTTAAGGAGCTGTAAGTGTATACTACTGTTATATTAAGATAAAAAATACTAGGTATGGTCAACAGTGAAGTCAGTAACTGCATGTTACAGCAATGATGCTTATGAGACTGAGTAAAGGGTTTCAAGAGCCACCAACCCAACAGAAAAGCATATAATTGCTAACATAAAGCTACTGAAGAGCTATTGGCAAACTTTATCAAGAACTGGAGGAGTGGACTGCTGGGGTCATTCCATACTCATATACCCTCTGACAATTCCTTAGACACTCAAAAGTCCATAAGTCTTTGGAACAGCTTATACAAAGAACAATGGCCACAGGAAAAGCAATTTTTAAAAAATATCTGAATGTAAAGAAACAGGTACTAACTCCCCCCTCCCTCCGCCAGGAAAACTACTTCGAAAAAGAACAAAAGGACTTGTAAAATGTTTTCAAGACCAACAAACTACAGTGGAACGAATGCCTGTTCACAGTGTAATTCCACTTTTCTCCTCTTTCTCTAAAGCACCAATAAGATTTTTAAGTCAGATAGAAATACGCTTCAATTACAGGTAAGGATAAAGAGTTCTGTTATAACGATTCAATTTTAACAGCTTCTCTAAATGCTAAATTGAAAAAATACACCCTTGAACAGCTTATTCATTCTAGAGTCAGTTTGACACCCATCTTTGGGTCAATATTAATATTCTTGATATCCTTATTTTTTCCTAACATGTAAACATTCATACATAAAACAGTACAAAAAGAGATGTTTGTCTCATTTCGTCCGGAAACACTAGCATGCACATTTCAGAACACGTCATTCCTACCACTTATCAGGAACTGTGCTTTTCCCCAATGTATTTGGAAGAATATGACTGTTGTATACCAGCAATAAAAATGTAGTAACTCCTGGCATTGCACAACTACTTGGAACTTCACCCCTGTGATGAAATAAAGATATTCTACAGTTGTTTTAATATGATGTGCCAGAGCAGAAATTAGTCTGTAGAGTTCAAAGTAGTTCAGAGGCATTTTTGAGTTCATGTCATTATATTTTTGGAAGATAGGAAATCTCCAGTTAAGATTAATCTCCAGTTTAGATTAATGCTTTTTCAAAGTCTTAAGGATGCGAGTGTCCAAGTAATGAGTGGACTGGTACATGATCCCTTCTGCCCCTCATCTGTGGAGGATACAAATTGTCTCATTAAACCTCAAGATGCAGCTGTTTAGTCTTTCAGCTGTAGATGATTCCATTTCAGTCCAGAGTCTATCTGCAAAACAGTTAACTTCACATTCAACTCTACAGCAGTCTTACAGGTGCCGGCCCTAACTAGAGGCAGCAAAGTTCAGAAGCATCACTAAAGTACACTAAACTGATGTGGATTTGTTAGACTTTTCAGAATAGCCAAAAGTTAGATACCCAATCTGATTCAAGTTCCCAAATCCTGCAGACTACTCAAAAACTAGACAATAAACATCAAGTATTTTCTTTATCATTCATTTGCTTAGCAAAACAAACCATCCTGCATAAATGCCATTGCCAGATCCAGAGACATACTCCATCTCTCACTCAGCTCAGGGAAGCCACTCAAATTCTGTTTACTTCAGCTAGAAGAGATCATAAACAAACCTGTTTAGCCAACTGATCCTTCTTCACCAAGCCAGTAGCTGCTGCAATGTTTCCAGCTCCTTCCACTGTCTTCTGGGCCACTGCTGTCACTCCTGTTACCACAGCTCCCCCAACATTAGATACTTGCTCTTTAGTCTTCTCAGCCACTGAGGAGAAAAAAAAAAAAAAAATTTACAGCTCTAGGAGCTGTAAGCTACTGAGGTATTCAGAGAATTGAGTTTTACTGACAGCACAACATCATGAAAAGCTGTGGGGCCATTATACTTGTGTACCCCAAGTGGATCGTAAGAACGAGACGATAATACTGGAGCAGCAGCAAAGGCAGAAATAAGGCTTAGTTGTGGCTCAATTTCTTTTGCTTGAAAAAGATGTTTGCTGTTTTCATTCACATCTAGTTGCACTGTGGAGAAGAAAAATCATTGCTTAAGGGCCATTATTATGCCCAGCTCAGCGTATGATGTGAAACGGTTGCATTCAACACAACACAATTTAGAAATGCTTTCCAGTTAGCCCATGAAACACACTTGCTGTATGTTACAGAGAAAGACAACATTTCATATGTTAGAGCCAAAGCCATTAATCATTCTGTTATTTAAAACATACTTGATTAATAAGCAGAGCTACTGCTGCTCAACTAGAGGCTAATATAACCTCATATCTGATTCTATGTAATCTTTGCCCTACTGCTGCTGTTTCCTTCCATAATGTACTAATCCACAAAAAGACTGAATGAGCAGAAGATGGCAAAGCAAACTAGATTAATAACTGACTTCAAAGCCCCAGGGAGACTACAACTCATTTAGCCTACATCTACATCAGCAGTTGCTGTTCTGCCTTTCGGAGTATTACATGACTCTTTCGGCTCATTCGTTCCCATGGGCTCTTCCCTGCAAGCAGCTTGTGCTGTAGTGAAATCACTAAGATAGATCAGACGACTCCATGCCTTAAAGTTACAGGACCAGAGGTGCAGAAAACCTGAGCTCCCATTTAGTCATCTAAAAATGGACTGTTCTTCAAAAACATCCAACATCCAGCATTGTAATGCTAACTAATCCTATACTTTTTCCTAGCTAAAACCCTACCTGACCCATAAAATGTATTCATAACCCTAGGTACAGTCTTTATGTATGCAGACAGGACTCTTAACAAATAGACCCTTTCCAAAGGGGGCTTTTTTGAACACATGAGAAGATAACTATAGAAAAATTAGATTTCTTTAATTCCTTACATAAGGAGTATCAGCTGTCTCTATCACAGGATAGGCTGTATAGATTGCTATAATTAGCACTAAATAACAATTAGGCAACAGCTCAAGAAGTAAGCAATGTGCCTGTTATGAGATTTTAAAGACCTGAATAGTAAGTATCTGATGGATGGAAAGGGGAGGCAAATCACTCAACTGTCTCATCCTCACTTTCAGTGAAAAATTAGTAATGGATTATGAGTATTATTTATATGCAGCTTCTGGTTTTGGTCCTAATAATTAAAGCAGAACAACGAACTATGCCTTGTCCAAATGAGAAAAACACTCTGCTCCAAAGATCTTGGAATGCATACATACCAATAAAGTGGCAAGAAATATCGCTGTACCCATGCAGCACTATTGCCATAATTTTTGCAAGAAAAATCCAAAGTGTTTTTTTGTGAAAAACCAAAAGCTGTCCTCAGGAAAGGCTTGACTTAGCACTAAGTAGTGTAATAGGACATATATTAAGATCCCCTCATGTGATCACTAACAGCTACAGACTACAAATTAGCATATTCTCCCACTAGTTCTGCATGCAATCATGTGCCTTTCTTAAAGGTCTGCATCCTAGTAACATGTTACCCCCTCCCCCCAAAGAATATTAAGATTTGATGGTGCACCGAGTCTTTCGGTAAGAAAATGAATAACATTTAGATATGGAAATCTGCAACACTTTCATATTATTCATAGTAGTAGGAAGACATATCAAGAACAGAGCTACATAAAAATAGTATATTGCAAAAATACATTAAAGAACTTGTTTTCCAACACATACCCAGGACACCTCATTAAGTTTTGGTATTGCTCTTGCCCCTTTTTCCTGTCTCATTCCTTCTGTGGTTTTGTCTTTTCTTCTTTACCAATGGAAGATAAGAATGGACCTTTTCTTACATTTTCTTCCGTGTGTTTTTTTGGTAGGTGAGTGTCATACACTAACTGTTGAAAACTTCTCCCTCTTCCAGAATATGTTGGATGACAGAATATTTAAAACTGACAAATTTAGTAGGCTTGATATTGTCAAGGGATCACATGCTCAGCTGCTCTTAACCAGACTGATACTCTTCCCTTTGATCAAGCGACAAGGTATGGTTACATTGTGTTCATTGTAAATCTTTTAAATTTTATTATCAAGATCTGCCTCAAACTGCATCAGCAACAATATGAAGAAATAGTCAAGTTTAGTGCACTGTGGATGCCTTAGCTAAGCTGCAATATAAAACGCTTAATTCCTGATGCCACTATTATAACCACATTATAACCACACTCAGATTGTTATCATGGTGCACATGAGCACCTACCCAAAGCAACTATCCAATGACTGTAGTGCCCCTATTAGAATGTTTTGGGAAACTGTTTAAAGTCTGTGTTCTCCTCCCAGAAACAGATTACTAAGTCTTAGTACAGGTAAACAAACAAAAAAGCACAAAGAATCAGGCTGCTAACACTTTTATTGGCACAACAACAACAAAATACCTCATAAAACTGGCAACAGAAACAGTATATTTAAGTGTACTTCAGCTTCATAGCATGAGAAAACAGACAAGAGGTGCCATTAAAGATCTCATTTACAATAGTGCATAGTGCCACCAGTTATTTCACGGTCCCCGGGAAGCTGTTGTGGTAAGCCTAAGTAGTCTCAAATTTTATTTTTAAATAACTGTTGTCCATAAGAAAATAAGTCAAGCAAACACAAGTGCGCAAAAATCGCAGATGTTGAGCATTTCCTCAAGCGTGAGCTTGCTTCTGTGTGTACAAGTGAGGCCATATAAACATTTTATCTGACACTGTCTCTAATCACAACAGAAAGCACTGCCAAATCATTACTCTGGGCAAGCACGTATAATCACTGGCCTCAATGGTCATAAGCCACTCAGCCACTAGAAATCCACCTTCCTAAGGAAAGCTGTATTCAAGAGACAAGTCTTCAAGTGTTTTCACCTTGAAAGAATTAAGCAAGCTGTTCTGTGCAGAACACAAGTAAAACATGGCATCCAAGCAGCATCTACCATCTCAAAAATGCAAGCTCTTGTACACCACATTGGCTCTGCCATACATGTATTTAGGTCTTATTCTTGGGTGAAAACTTCAAACGTACAGAAGTTGTAGACCAAATTTAGGGCCCAGTTTACAAGCATATCTACATATACTTAAAGCATCAGGGCATTTCTAGATATTTGAAGATGCTGAAAATTAAAAGCTTAACATGTTAAATATTTCATAGCAGCTTATCCCTTGATATCAAACCAGCAAGTTGGTTTTCTAGTAAGACTTCTTCACGCCTCAGATTTGTGGAGGACAAGTCCAGCAAACTATATACAATGTAAATTCAAAAGTGTACTTTTCTGGCAGTAGGAGAAAATTCTTTCCTATCTGTAAGGGATGTGTAAACACTAAGTTACTACCAGACAGGTTCTGTAAAAAAGCTGCAACTCTAACCCTTCCACTACAGAACCCTAGTGATTGGGAAAAAAAAAAAAGTTTCCAATCTTATGTATTTACTGCTTATATTAAGTAGTAACAAGGGGAAAAGCATTAAGTGCATGCAAACAAATTAGTTCAGAATGCAGTTGGTTGGTATCAACAAATTAAATCAATCTGAATATCAGGTTGGTTAAGTGGCCTTAAATCAGTAAGTCTTTAAGCTGATGTCTGCTTTGCATCATAGGGCAGAGAGATTAAATCAGCTTCTACAGAGATCTGCAGTGCTATGGCTAGATTACTTCTGCCAACCTAGGGAGAGATCTTCCAGCCAAGTAGTGATCTTTGAACAGTATACAATGATCATGCTAGGGTTAACTTGGAAAATGCAATTCTAGTATTGACTATAGCATTCTACAGTCACTGTTGTTGAAGCTTTCTTTTCCCTACTTACTACAGAGTACTGTGTAATAGAAAAAGAAAGTAACATGAAAACTTCTGGAACAATTCAAAATGACAACTTGTTGCTTCTAGTATTCAAACAATAACCATGGATGAAAACATGGTATCTCTGGATAATGAAATTACTCTTAACGCATTAAGTGTATACCTTGTATATGTATTTTAGACAAAAAAAATTGCCTTAAGCACTTGAATTCATTTACAAAGAGCTACTAGTACACAGTGGGTTCTGTTATTCACCCATTCACTGGAAGGCACCTGATGGAATAAAGACAAAAGCAGGAATACCAATGCAAGGAGACTAAAGAACATTTAGAGAAGCAAGAAGGATGAAATAAAAGAATTGCAAAAAAGCTAACTATGGTTCTTAACTGCCGAGATAGTGTTTTCATTCAGCTTCAGGAAATTGGTATGTGGTTGAAATATTGATGCAGACAGCTTTTGTGCCCTGATCTTTTATACAAATTACTGTTTCACTTTGGTTATTAGGATAGTTTGTAAAAGCTGAATCTTTATACATTTCTGGACACTTATCCTTGGGAGATAAACAAGAGACTGTTTGAGTACACACTTGTAGTCAAGGGCCAGACATGTTAATTATGTAGTCAAGGGCCAGACATGTTAATTAAGCAAGCTAAATACACAAACTAACACCATATAACACCAGTAAGCAAGAATCCTTTCTTTTCCGAACTTCTAAAGATGGTGACCTGACAAATTCACATTTACCACATTCCTGTGAATTACAGTGAGGCATCTCATTCTACAGTGTCTTGATGCCACTCAACCTGGTACAATCAAGTCATGCTTTAAAGAAACTCTTCAGTCTAGTCTTTCTGGGTTTGGAAAGCAACTGACTGAAAAGCATATTTTGTTGTTCAGTACTGTGAGGTGTGCCAGCTCCTAAATCCATCCACCAGCAGAGTGTTTTAAACTAGAAGCTATTCCAAACCAGCAAAGCTAGCAAGACCTTGGAATTTGAATAGGGAAAAAGGAGTGGTCATACATTCATTTGACCTTGTCAGGAAAGATTTTTGACTGTAGACAGACCCTCATAGCCTCCCTTTCACATTTTGACACAAGATGAAAGTCTAGGCCTTAAAGCAGTAATGAGTTCTTTCCCCAAAACACATAGCCTTCATGCTCAGTTATTAATATTAAGTCTCTTATGTCACCCTTTCAGAACATCCCCAATCTCCTGTCCAGGTCAGGATCTGGAATAAGAGCTTCCAGAGAGTCTTCAGTGAGAAGAAACTTACTACCTCTCCTCCCCAAAAGGAGTCTCACTACTTTAAACTTCTCTCCCTCAGGAAGAGTAGCCATCATCCCCTCTCCTCATTGGACTCCAAGAGGGTGGTCCTATTGGTCTCCCTCTAAGCATCATCTGACAGGTAGCAAAAGGGGATGCTTACATAGGCCCACCCTATAAAGCATGCATACTACAGGCATGCACAACTAGCAACACATTTTGATCTGTGCTTCTGCTTCATATTTGACCATCTCCAATCTCTTGGATTGTTTTTCTTCACATGTAAAACTGGAGATGAAATAAAATCTTTCATGATATCAATACCCCAGGGTATTAAAAAAAACCAAAAAAACATTAGTTAACTCACTCCTAGTCCTATGGAAAGGGACAAGTAGGCCTTTATGAGTGTCTTCAGCAGGCAGTTTTGTCACATCAGACTTTGACATCAAATCCCTTAAATAAATATCCTTAAGATAACTTCACTAGCATTTCTTAGAGGATCTCACATTTTATCCTATAGCATCACTACAGTGAATCCAAATTTTCACCTGATTTCTGCTTCCCCAAAACAACTCTTCATACACTTGCATCCCTTTTTGAAAATATACTAGAGCAGTTCTTCTCTTGGACTATTTAAGCCCATCCCATTTCATTTGGGAATGAGCACCACTTCTAAAGTCCCCTTTTCTCACTGCCACATTGCAACTTACATGTCTTCTATCCATTTTTCATCTCCATTCAACCTGCCTCAAATAAGCAACTATATTAAATTTAAATATTTGACCTTAAGAGAAAACTGCATGGCTTGACAAAACAAGTTTTGCTTTCTGTCTCTCGATTCTTTTTAACTACAGGTCCTCTCTCCTTCATAAATTGGAGTGCTCTCAAAAAATAAACATAGGTTTTAACAGATGAATTATTAACCACAAACTTAGAGAAGTGTTTGAAATAATCTATTAATTTTCTTACCTGTTGTGACACCATGAACAACTCCTTCCTTGGTTCTGGATCCTAAGCAGAGGAAAAAAGTGTTAGATAGGAGGTAATGTTAGCTTGCCTATATATTCCAAAATAGTAGTAAAAACTAAATGGCTGACGAAAGGAGATAGCAGATATATTAATGTTACATACAGTATTTCTTAAGACTATTAGAATTAATCCGAAAGGGATTCATTCCAAGGAAAACACCAAAACCAGCATTAAAGAGCAACTGCCTAAGTGCATGACTATGGAAACATGAGTATCAAAATACAGGAGACACTTCTGTAATACTTGTCTTATATGTACCAACTTCCTTACCAGTTTAATTAAGCATGCCACTCTGCAAACATACATGGATAACTGCATGGAATCCACATTATTGTTAAGATCTTAAGGAGACTCACATGCATCTTTAGAAGATAAGAGCAAAGGTTTCCAAAAGATCCTTACAACTCTGTCTAACTACTCCTACTCAGGCCTCAGTGTGCAAGGGTTAACAAACATAACTGATGCACCTTTCTGTAGGTTCAGTAATAAACACGGGGAGCTCGTAGAAATATTAAGCAGGATTAGATGGACAATAATCCAAAAGAGAAACATTAAACATGAGATAATACTTGAACATGAAAATGCCACTGAGGTCAAACCCAAGGTCTCCCTAGCATCCTCCTTGTCACAGGCATGCACAGACTTTGCAGAAACAAACCTAGAAACAAACCTAGAACTAGTACTAGACTGAGCCATAACACTAGACCTGTGTGAGCAATGCAACTTTGTCACCCTAAAGACCAAACCAACTTCTAGAATGCTTACGTAAGAACATGACTTGGGGCACCTTGCGTGAAAGGGGAACAACCTCTAGCATCTTCAGTGATAAGAGAAGAAAATTAACACATATTGCTTTTGAAAACAATCTCACCTTTTTCCTACCAGAGCTCTATCTGTCAGAGTTCTATAATTTGGCTGTTTCAGGGATTTGTAACCATCTGTGGACTATGAAGCTTAACAACATGCAATTAGGCCTTAGAGAGACATAGTTTAAGCCTCTTAGTTCATTTTTTTGCCCCTGGTCTGCCAGAGACAGGGCGACTTTAACTATGGAAAATTACCTGTTACAATTTTTTGTCTAGATACTAATCAATATTTGGGATATCATTTGTTTCTAACTTCACACTCCTAGCATCTATGTAATTTCAGCATATCACTATGTATAAAATAGTATATACTATAGATGCATGTGGAGGTGGATGCATGTGTTCATTACCATTAAGAAGCTACTAGTTGAAGCCTGAGAAAGCAGACTTCAGACAGTATCTGTCTAAGGGAGAAAAGGTAATAGAGAAAGCTAGAAGGATTACTCTTTAGCATAAGAAAGCAGCTCTTCCCAATATTCTTTACCAATAACAGAATTCAATACTGAAAATAAAGTACAAGCTCATCCACTGATGTTTTGCTTGCTGCTAGTTTCAGCTTTTGGAGCTTACACCATTATTTGTGGCACTATCAGACCGATTACAGCATTAAAAAAGGCTTTGTTAAAGAGCGAGAGCAGAATAATCCTTAAAGGGAGCAGAAAAAAAACTGTTGTCAAGTAAAATGACTTCATGTTCCTTGTAGTGCTATAGTAGGCTGGGCAAAATGAAGCTGACAGACCTTCTGAAAATGGTTACTTTGAAAAACACTGACTCCTGGTTTGAAAATTAACTAGCTAATGAACAGATTAAAAAGAAGTCTTCTCCTTTTTCTAATTTGCTGTTTAGAAAAAGCCTTTTCTTTCAATGAAAAGATCACTGAAAATTCCTTCATTTGATTAAATCCAAGGTGGTAGGATCTCTCATGTCTGAGAGCTTGCTTTTTGGCCTTTGGTTCTCAATCTTGCAGGGTCATGAGACCTGAACAAGCAAAACACTTCAAATATATACTGAAATTTGAACAGGTAACTGGTTCTACCCACTTCTAGAAAGAGATTAAACACTATTTTAGAGCTTCAGTGGGTCTATTGAAATGCTTGAAGTTTATACTTCCAAATGCTTTGTTAGATTGGAACACAGTCTCATTCCTCCTGAAGTTAGTCTTCAATCCTAGCCTAGATCATCACATGCCAACCTGCGAACAGCAGGTACTCAGTCCCTTGAGGCTGGTACGGGAGAACTCACTGAGGAACTCTGCACTGCATGCATTTCCAGAGGAACACCTGCAAGCTTACTCTTAATCTGCTTACCCTGCTGTAACACTGCTGTAACCACAATTAAGTTAAAAACGCTAGTCTCCATTAACGAAAGATAGCTTTGCTTTAAGGAGAGCATGGCTAACAGATCCATACAGAACAGATAGGCATAGCCAAATCCATCCATTGGCAAATAACCAGCTAAGCAGTGATCCAGACCTTTACAGTATGTTAGGGCTAAATATTATTTGCTCTACTGCAGCACGCTTGCATGGAAGAAGCTCTTTCTGTGGTCACAGCTCTAATAGAAACAATAGGACCAGCAAGAACAGGGCCTAAATAAAACAGCTGCATTTAGTAGGACAAATTCAGGCTAGCAATGAAGGAAAGCTAGCCACTCCTGTAAGTTCCCGATACAAACTAGCAATCTTCCGTGCTGGCAACCCCAAAACTTCACAATAAGTTTGCTCATTGTATCCTGCATAACAGGGGGAGATTGAAAAATCTGAGCAGGGGTGATAAACACAAAGGGCCTAACACTGACTGACACTGCTTAGGTGATATAGAAACATTTGTAGTCAGTAGTAATGCTACTTCTCCTGGCTATAGTACACATGGGGCAGGGCACACCAAAAACCTGAAATTTTGCCTTTGTGCAGTCACCAAAAAAATACAATAAACATTCTTCTTTGAATTCTCACCACCACTCTCTTTCAGTAAAACTGTTCTGTATATCAGCAATCTGGCACTACACTCATTTCTGGGCCCTTTAGGAGATGTCTGCTATATACCAAGCAAGCCCTCCCTGAAAATCAGGTCACTAATTAACAGCTGGTTGGAAACAGGGAACATAAACCCAGATTAGGGAAAGGAGAATTCAGCACCTAAGGAAGATATTTGCTATTGAGTGCTGCCTACTTAGATTTTCAGCAAGGACTCTTGAAGCGCATTATTCCACCAGATGGACCTTGAATGCCTTGACTACTCCACTGGCCTTTGTTTTACTGAAGGAAAATAAGAAACCTTATGAGAGGGGGTTGTAACACAGGAATTTGTATGGCTTGCCAAATAGTTCAAGACTGCTGCTCTGACCAGGTGCCAGCAAAGTACAGGGAGTAAGAAACAACTCTGCTGCTACCCACCCCTCTCCTGAGGAACTATTCCTTTCTTCTATGGTGTAACACAGTTAAAACTTGAGAATTTCTGTTCTGGAGCACTGAACACACTCAAGAGTCAATTAAGCAAAAATTTTAGTTCCCTGGTAACTACACAGGGCTCAAAGGAACTCTTTAGCAGTATATTGCTGATAGCATGCAAGAGCATCACACTACTACTGTCAGCTCCCAGTTTCAAAATGAGTGGGGGTAAGGATTGCAGCTCACTTCATTACTGCTTCACACCCACAGCTCTTGAAGGAGACATGGAAACCCAGTTCTAAATATTGTAGCATATGTGATTCAGAACTGCTGAATCTCAGTCTTCCTTTCTAATCAATGATCAGACCATTCTTGACATATTAGACAAAGGTCCTGATGCTCCGCTTGTATGGCTTGAGACAGAGCCACTGATTTCAGCTGGCCAACACTGAAGTCAGTCAGCAGAGGAATTCAGGAAAAAAAACTTAAAAGCCTAAAAACACACCATAGATTATATCGAACAGTGTCTTGTATAGTAAAAAGCAGGACAAACCATAGGAGTAAAGAACAGATTTCAGCACGGAGGGAAAAACCCTGTTAAACCTCCCTGAGCCTTTCTTCAAGGGTTGTATGCTCTCCCTTTTGGAAAAAAATTACAACAACATTGTATCCCAAGCTATTGCTTGTGTTAATTACAACTCTTACATTATAATATATAATTCTACAGTTTCAAACAGCTAAGCACAGTCTGGGCAGAAAGGTACAGCTGCTCTCAATATTTACTTAGTTTCTCACTGAAACCAGTGGAATTTAAGATCTGTGGGAGCTAGGCCAAAGATCTGGCATCTCATTAATTCTTTCTAACAATGGAAGGCTGAATGTCATGGAGTTTCGTCTCTCAGCTCCAATTTTGGTAGGATCTTTTGCCAGATGTCAGGTAGCTTTCATAGCAGAGTCTGCCTTTGATAAACTCATATCTGAAAATCCAGCTACAGAGAGGGAGAGGAAAAACCCTCAAGAGCTCTAATGCAATGCGCTGCTTCCCTCTGCTTACAAACGGGTTTCACCACACTAAGCGCTTTGGATTGCGGCCACTACCAGCCAACAGAAGCAAGAGATTATCACCTCAACCTTCACTCTGCACTTGGGAAACAGAAGGAGAAATACCTAGTGCCTCTCTTCCCCTCAGAAATTGAAGAGGATTCAGAACAGCCTAAAAATGCTGCTTTGGCAAGCAGCACAGAATGGTGACCTAGTTACAGCCAGCCTCTGCCTGAACTGAGCCCACATGGAGGTCCTCAAACACCATTACAGTGTTTCCAAGTCTTACTGATTTCTACTGTTCTGTAATGTTTCTTCTGGTTTCTTCCATTTCAGTTAGAGAACTCAAGGAACCCATAACCCTGTAGGCATATCACTGTGGTCCTTAACTGGTCAGTTGAAATCTAAGTTGAAAGACCAACCAGGAAAATTGTTACTTCCCAGATCTAGAGATGGGCAGGCACACATCCAGATACATTAGCTGCTAGAACTCTTGGAGAGCACTTCTGACCAAGGACTCTGTTGCTGCTGCTGCTACTCAAAACAACATATATAGCTCTTTCCTCCTGAAGAGGAGTCTTCTGCTATGGAAGGGATCAGTCACTATTATTACAGTAGTATGTGTGGCTCCCTATCATGGCTCAGGGCTCAACTGCCATAGGTATTTTATTCTTGAAATAATAGCGACTCTGCCCTCCAAAGGCCAGTCTCAGCAGAAGTGCATCTGAAGACAATAGGAAATCTGTTGCCTTTGGGAGCAGAACTAGGTTCTAACCCGACTGCAATCAGGAAGTTAGGTCAGGCACAAAGATTAATTCTGCATGCAATCTAGGTTTCTAATACAACAAAAATCAGTGACCCTAGAAGCATGGTCAGGAACTACAAGAAAACATTAAAAAAGCAGCAACATGCCCCAATAGCTATCAAGTATGATTTACAGTGAAACAGCAAAAGCTATTTTGATATTGAAAACGAGTAGAGGCTCATTTAAACGCAGATCCATCTTACAGTTAGTTGCCAAAGTGACTTCCATCTCTGCTGGCAAGAACACCAAGTTTTGCTGCGGCTCAGTAGGAAAAAAGTACATTCGAAGCAAGTCGTCCAACCAATCCGGAGCAGAAATAGTTTGGTACAATCTGGTGTTAGCCTGCAAGGGCAGAGGGAATCCCCAAAAGACTGAGAAGTGCAGATACCTCAGTGATCCCTTTTGAAAGAAAGGCCTCCAGTTTTCAGTTCTAGCTTCTTAGAAACCTGTGCACATGTCCCTCAATACACACAGCATCCATTACAAAATTGACCTGCCGTAGTTATTGAAAAAACCAACTGCCAAAGTAGTAGTATATTTTCTTTTCCATTCTTCTACAGCCCAACTTAATTTGATGAACAGGAGAGGCAGATCCACAAGTGTTTAAGCAACTGTTTATTCATAATCTTGACAGATTCTTTTCCTGGGAATTTTTCATGGCAGCATTTGCAAGATAGTCCTCTACAGCCTGCTGCTAAGTAAAGATGATCACACAGCTACAGTACTCATCTGAGATTTACACAGAATGTCATCCCTGGCTCTGTGCCAAGTTAATTAAGTGGCTTATCTAGACTACACAATATTTCCCCACTTTCTCCATTGTTACCTGCCCTATCTCAGTTGTAGTAGCTCTTCCTTAATGAGGCATAGAGAGAAGCAGCTATGGATGTACAGTTGTGTTGAACATGAGGGTAATCTCAGAAGACAAGATGACACTGCCACACAAAAATGTTACTGCTGGGGATCTTAAAAACTGAGAAAAGAGAGAACAGGCTCCTTCCTAATGAGTGCATTCCCTTCCACTTCATTTTATTCCGAGACAAAGCAGCCAGCATGGTTTATGATCAGTTCCTGAGTGAACCTCTCAAGCTTCTTCTCATAAAGAAAGAAAAAACTGCTGAAAACCCACAGGTTCTACAGGATTCTATGAAGCCTCTTTCCATTTTAGCTTTTATATCATTTACTGTATCAAAAAAAATCACATCTCCAACCTTAATGGAGTATACTTCTTGAACAGAGTGCCAGCTGGTCTCCTGTGCTGTAAGGCACCATCTATGATGCACATCTTGTTCTGTATAGGGCTACATATATGGCTCCACAGTGTAGCAACACAGACAGCACAGTGCAACAGCTTAAAACCAATGCTCAGCTTCAAAGAAACGAAACCCAGGAGGGCTCAACTCATCTTGTTTGTCTTCCAAGGTTCTCCTATGAGCTTTCTTTTTTAAAAAAAGAAAGAACAAAAAACCCAGAAGAGTAGCTCTGAGAACCCAACCTTCATTCTTGCAGATGAGCACAAACATCAGGGAACACCAGACTAGCAGCATGATCTCCGCTGCTCACCTACCCACATAGAGGACGCCCTCTTTCGTCTTTCCTGCTGCTTCTGCCACACCCTGCTTGGTTTTTTCTGCTGCTGCTACGACTCCCTCCTTCGCCTTGGAGAGCCCTTTCATGAACACATCCATGGCTGCAGAATCACACAGCTCTGGAGAAGAGAGGAAAAACCACCACACACACACAGGTCAAATAGAGGTTTTCTGCTTTTTTCAGAAAAGGAAAATTTTGGTCAAATTGATTGGAATCAGTTATTTAAAAATTAGACTATAGATAATTTACACCCATCTATTTTGTAGCTTTCATCCACATTTCCCTAGTAATACGTACATACTAAGCTAGCATTCAGTATTTCAGATAAACTATACAACAGCTAAACACAAAGAGGACTGTTACACGAATCTCCTTTACATTTTCTCATACGTTGCCACACATAACAAATTAAACAGCACTGCAAGAGCAGTACTCTCACAAGCCAAGAACGGGTTCGGAAATTTCAACAGAAACCTATAAATAAAGGGGTTGGATAACGCAGTGCCAATAGGAAGATGGATTCGTTGCTACGACAAGTGCTTTCACTGCCTCTACCAAGGCACCGCTCCCTTCAAAGTGAAGTTCTGTTCATGTACTGATTGCAAGATTCAGCCCCGTGATTTGATGACACTCCACATCAGCTCATGCAGAGGAAAAAAGGCAACATAAACACTGCCAACTTTAAAAAAAATCCTAAGTGACAAAGGTTCACTTGCTATTGTTAGGAGAAAGTGCTGTTATAACCAAAAAGGACCTACAGCAAATAAAAAGAGCTGAGTTCTTCCCCCAGTATGCAGCATTTTGTGCACAGTCAGTGTCACTCTTCTGCAAACTGAGTTTCTCTGTGTGTTCTCTGCATGCACCACGAATGAGAAAAGATTTTGTAAAGAGGGGAAAAAAAAGCAAGGATATGCAATGTTTAAAGCAGAAAAGCTAGCAAACTAGTTCTGCGACAGATGCGCAACCCAGCACTACGTTTAAATTAAAACTAAAAAGTCAAGTTCCCTTCAACAAATGAGTTATCAACCGCCTTTTTTTTTTTTTTCTTCTTCTTTCCCCACCCACACAGAAAAAAGAATCAGCGCCCGTTATTTTCTCCTCTGCGCTGAAGGCGGAGTAGGAGGAACGCACGTCTAGGGAAACACCTGGGCTGCGGCAGCTTTCTACCAGCTTGTGAGCAGCGGTTGGAGAGGG